TTTTTTTTTCTTTTTCATTTTAGCTTTCTCAATCAGAAATGAGAAAAACTTCATCATCGCTGGTTGAATCGCAACCAATGGAAATTGAAATAACACGTGAATTACCACCAGTTGAATTACCACCTGTAACATTCGATCATATTCGAGATCGTTTACGTACTTCGTATGTTTCATTAATATACTTTTCAATTGATAGAAATAAAAGAAAATTTTCTTAATATATTTTATATTTAGTCTAAAATCCGTTACAGAATCAAATGAAAAACATAAGATGGAATATGAAAAAGTTAATCAAGCATATGAAGCTAGTCAAACATCTTTAGAAAAAAATACAATTGATTATCCACAAATGGAAAAAGCTTATCAATTTTATCAACAATGTCGTGCTTACGTATATTCATTTCTTGAATGTTATAATGAAAAAGTAATGACTTAATAAATATAAACATAATTTCAAATAATTTATTTCTTATTAAAGATGATGACACTCAAAAACCTTGAAGAACGTTGGTTACAATTATATAAACAAAGAACGGATATGATTATAACTCGTCGACAAGAAGATGTTAAAGATCAATGTATGGAATATTCAACAGGTACTTTTGTTAAATCAAAAAAATCATATATAAAATATCGAATTTTAATTTTTAGTAAAAGCAGCAGCGCTAGTCAATGGTACATTAACAACAAATGATTTTCGAACAGCACTTGATCAAAAACGACAACGTCGAGCAACTGAACGTGAAGCACGAAGGTAGATATATAAATAATAAAAATTAATTTACTAAGTTTTTTGGTTATAGATTACGAAGAAGAAAAGATCGTGAACAAACAACAAATCAACATTTCGATGGAATGTCAACAGATGATGAAGAAAATCAATCAGATATTAGTTCATTTCTAACACAAAAACGTAAACGAATAAAATAAAAAACCAAAATTTTTATATTTATTTTTTCTAGAAGAAATTCTTAATGAAGCTGAACATGTACTTGATGATGTTTCGGATGAATTTTCACAATATAGAAATATAAAAACTATATTTGAACAGTGGAAATATGAACAAAATGATACATATACAGATGCATATATTGAAATATGTTTACCAAAAGTATTTTCACCATTAATACGAAAAGAAACGATTGATTGGAAACCATTCGAAGTAAATATTAAACACTATAAAAATATACATTTATTTCTATTTTTCTAGACACCTTGTCGAGCTATTGAAGATCATCAATGGTATCAAGATTTATTATTCTATGGTACAAAAGATGGACGTAATGAAAATGAAGATTTTCAATTTGTACCATTAATCATTGAAAAAGTTATTATACCAAAACTAACAAGTATGTTATATAACATTTTCTATGTCAGTTTTAATTATGTTGTTATATTTATTCGGAAAAAACATTAATTAGTCTTTAGTTGACAAACTTTAGTTCGCAATAATTATCTGTACTTTCCGATACAAATTGCTTCACTTTCGATACAACTTATAGTATTAATCTGATAAAATTTGCTCGTAATTTTACCTTTGGAATCGTGCATGTAAAAAGATAATTAATCATTGATTTCTGAAAACTTCCTCCATTATATGAATAATAAATTATAAATACTCTATAATTTAAGCTAGGATTGAAATGAAATAAAAATATAATTATCTTGAACTACTATTTTCGAAACTTAGTTTAGAATGCTGATGAATATGTACTTATTTCTTATTTTTATCTAGTTATTATTGAAAATATATATGATCCATTATCATTAAAACAAACAACAAATCTTGTTAAAATAATTGAAAATATATTTCAAACATATCCAACAATGACCGATGATAGTAAAAATGTTAAAGTAATTCTTTCTAAATAAAAAATAATTCGCCAATATAAATAATCTCTTTATTTCTTTTTAGACTTTACTAAAATCTATCGTTGATCGTTTACAACGTTCGTTAGATGATGATATTTATATTCCATTATATCCCAAAGAAATAATTGCTCTTGGTTCATCTCGAATATCATCAAATAATTCAGCAATAATTGCAACAGAATTTTTCTTTCGTCAATATTGGACATGTGTTAAATTATTAGGTAATATAACATTATGGTCACAAGTACTTTCATTAAAAACAATACTTGATTTATCAATTGATGGTTTGTTAAATCGTTATATCTTATTAGCATTAAAACAAATGGATTTAACATCAAATGAAATGATAACACGTTGTCTTGTATTAGCAAAATGTTTTCCAATAAAACAATGGTTTGACAATAATAAAACTATTCTTAATAATCAATTAAATGATACAACATTACCAGCATTAGAAAATTTTTGTTTATTTTTAAAACAACTTACACAAGAATATTCAACATTAATTTTTAGTGCTAATGATAAAGATAAAAAAATGTATAAGTAAGAAGAAATTATTTTTTTTTAAAAAAAAAAAAATTTATTTTTTTTAGAGAAAATATTCGACAAATTCGTGTTATTTTTGTTCATCTTCATGCACTTGATCATGCGCTTGAACTAACAAATGAATATGAGATTAAATAAAAAGCAAATTTTTTCTTCTTTTTTTTTGTGTTTCTGTATTTGTAATAAACTTTGTTTAACGGAAAATCTTTATTTCTAGATTGAAAAATTCTATCCCTTTCAAAATAAAAATATGAGTAAGTCAAATTTTCAATTGAGTAGAAAAATAAATTTTCTTTCTAAAATTTTAGCTGCTTCAAATTCATCATCATTTCTTTTTTCACTTCTCGTTGCTCTTTTATTATTTGCATCAATGCAAGTATTTCGTACACAAATTTCAGCAAGTCAACCAATGACAATTGCTGGAGGATTTGTTGGTTCATTAATATTTGTATCACTTTTAACGGTAATTAACAAATTAAACTAATTTATAACTTTTTTTATTTTATTTAAGGCTATAAGTAATTTTGAAATGAATACATTTGGAGAACATTTTCAAGCACGAGTTTTTCCTGAAGGTAAGAGGAAAAAGCGTTTCTATGTGAAAGAAGAAAAAAAAACATCTTTATTTTATAGTTGTTATCAGTCTGTTTGTTTCGGTCATATGTTGCGCATTTGTTCATCGAGTTTGTGTAACAACTTGGTAAGTCGACTGTATTTATTCATATCTAATGAGACGAGAAATTAGTCAAACTACAACTGATTTATATCTGTTGTTTATTATTTTAAAGCAGAATATGCATCGAAGAAGATAAATACTGAGAGTTCGAATTATATTTTAGGTGGTAAAATTTTTATGGATATCTTGAGACTTTCTGATAAAATATTTATGATCTATTATAAGTATCTTGAGACAGATAAACTCGGAGTGTTTTAAGTATAATTAGACCTTTTTTTTACCCAAAAGGTCCAGATTGATACGTCGAGCACAGTGGCGGATCCAGGATTCCCATGAGGGAGTGGCGGTTTAGAAAAAGAAAAGTGGAAAGTAGTATTATTTTTTAGGAGAGAAACCTAGTGTTCTACCTGTTTTCAGTATCTATTTTCGAGAGGGTGGCGGTCGCCGAACAGCTAGGTCAAAATTAGCATTAAAAAGTAATCAAACAAGATATACATCAATCACAATATAGTTTTTCTTAAGGGAATTGAATAATTATACTAATTTTGCTAAACATTTTCCTTAAATATTCACTAAGATAAGTTGTTAACTATATCTATGTAAAAATTATTTTTCCTGTATTAATCAATCTTTATATATAACAATATTTATTAATATCGGATTAAGATAATAAAATCATATCATTGAATTGTTCGAAAATAATTAAAATCAAAATATTGATTGATATTTTTCAAGATAAAATCATACTGACATTTCTAATCTAATATTCATGTACATAATCATAGCCAATAAAATACATAGAAATGATTTCTTTTTTTTTAATTTAAAATAATAATCTTCTTTATTCTAGCATAATCTTTTCATTAATTGCGCTTTATTACATCAATCGTATTTCAACAACGACATATGGAACACCAGTCGGAGGACCAACTGGTTATGCAACGCAAAAGAAACAAAAATAGATAAATATACACGTGGGGATTTTTTTTCATCTAACTGTCATTATTATTCTTATGGCTTTCTTCGTTTTTTTTTTCTATCATTATCTTTTTATCTTCTAATTATCGTAGAAAATGACTTTCTTATTTGTTATTTAATTCATAGTTTTTTTTTTCTTATTATAATTAATGAAACGACCTGGTGGTAGAATACTTTGTCTTTTTTGATTAAAAATTTAATCTATTGTTATTTAATTGATTGATTATATGAGTATAATAAATTAACCTTATTTATATTTTTGTTTTTTTTTTTCGTAAATCTTTTTCGATCGATATCTTATTATTGTTCCAATGACATCTTATCTAATATAAGAAGACACTTGTTACTTAAACACAGACATAGTCAAACATTTTGTCTGCTTCTAAAGAAAAAAAGAAAAAGGAAAAAGAAAAGAAAAGAAAAGAAAAGGAAAAGTCTATTTTCTTTTTTGTCATCTTGCAAATTCTTTCTTTTTCTTTTCTTGTGCTATTACTCTATATAAAAACAATGAGCCGAAACGTTCGTTCGTGTTTTCTGTGAGAAAAGAACAGACTGTAAGAGATAAGAAGTATTAAAAATAAGATGAAGAAGAAGTAGAAGAAGAAAAAAAAA